TGGAGCCCCCCGGCATCGTGCTGCTCTGCTCCGCACATGGAGCCAGGGCCCCCCCACACCCCTCCTGGCACCCCCGTCTCAAACAGGGGAGAGATCTTACAGCTCAGCTTCGGAGCCGGGTTGGAAAAATCCCGGTGGATAAAGTTTTCCTTGTGCCGACTTCATCGTCACATATGCCAGAGGAGCAGGGAAGCCCCGTTACATTTTCCAGGGGACTAATCTCCGGGATGCCCGCACCTGTAGAGCTGCCTCTTCACACTCTCCCTACGAGTCACAGGAATCCCAGTTCCTCAAGAGGAATAAGGGGGTTTGTGTGGCAAAACCCAACAGCATGAGATGGAAGAACCCCGTATCTGCTAGAGGAAACAGATTTTGGGAGGGCAGAGGAGGCTGAGTGACCTGTGTCACAGAAGAGATACTCAAGAGGGGATCTTTGTCTCAGACCCCACAAGGGAAGAGGCCTGGATGAACAGGAAAATCTGGGAAGCACCGCAGGCAGGTAAGGAAGGGCTAAGCCCAAAGCTCAGGAGCAGGAGGGATCCCGGGGCTGAACTGGCTGGCACGTGGGAGGGGAATTGGCTTGTGCCAGGTCTCCGCTTGCTTTTCTCCCACTTCCAGACACCTTGGGCTCAGCAGGGCAAACGGAAGACATACTGGCAGCATGAATCATATTCAAGTATTTAAGCACCAAACTCCGCAGTTCAGCAGTCCCAGGTGGGTTTCGCAGTGTTACCGTTTCAGGTTTGAGCCGGGTGTGAAAAACCAAATTGTTGGCACATACAACACACACCCCAAAATCTAGAGACTGGTAGATACAACCACTCTCCCCGCCGTCAAGGAGCTGTGGGAGACCCTGGGCTCATCCTTCCCCAACATCGATGCTGGAGTGGGAACCTGGAAGCCCTGGGCTTTAGGATATCGTTTGGGAAAAGGCAGGGGATGCTTTAGCTCATCACTTGCCCTGCACCCAATGAACTCCACCAGCTGTGCCCAGGGGAGAGGCAGAGGCTCCGGCCACCTCGGTCCTGGGAGAGCCCTGACGGGGCTCGGGCTGACCAGGCAGCCGAGAGCCAAGCTCTGTCCTGCCTCCCACAAACCTCCGCAGCATTTCAAAATAAGCACAATTGTTGGGCCTATCTGAAGTTTGCCTTGTGGGCTTTGTGTGTTTGTTTTTTTGGAACCAGGAGAGTTCACGTTCCCAAGCTTTTTCCTGCAGCCAGTACAGCAGAGTTTATTTTTTTTTTAATAAAAAAAGAAGAAAGCAGAGCTCTGCATGTAACCTCAGCTTCCCTGAACAGGACATCAGCCCCAGGCACCAAACAGGCAGTTTTGAGGAGGCTGAAGGAGCCAGCATCTCTGGGGGCTGGCGGGGTTCTGCAGCCCAATTTCTTCCTTTCCATGCCAAAATCTGAGTCTTGGCTACATCTCTAACCACAGCAACATATACTGGAGAAAGTTCATTTTATAAAGCTGTTGCTTTTCTTATTTGAAAGCAAAAAGCATAAGGGAAAGAAAAAACTACCAAGTGGAGCTATTTCAGCCATCACAACAAGCTAACTTGGACATCGATGGGGCAGCATCTCCCAAACACCAACAGTTTAAGAAGACAGGAGGAAAGCCAGGAAATGAGGCTTTTGCTTCCCAGCAAAAGGAGGGGACAGCTGAGCCTGGAAAACACAGGCAGCTCCTCTGCAAGTCATAACCACAGAAACAAGAGCAACCACATCTTACCTGAACTTCTCCAGCCCTCCAGGATTTAAGCACCAGCTTGGCTGCACAGGGTGTGAAGGAAGCTTGCTGGGGCCAAAGCACCTCACACTGCTAGTCTAACTTTGGGGTAACTGGGCTGGAGGAGGGTTGGGGAACACCAGGCTTTGTAGCAACCTGCTATTCTAGGAAGGAAAACCGAGCAGAGATTCTTTACAAGCGCCCCCTCTGCTGAATTTAAAGGATCAGCACAAATAATGCACACCAAAGAGCACTTTCCAAAGAGCTTCCTCTGCAGGGCAGGTGGGTTCCAAGCAAAGGGATGGCTCTTTAGGAGTTCTGGGGCTCTTCAGGCTCTGCAGTGGTGTTTAGCGAAGCGCTTTGCAGCTGGGGAGCCATCCTGCTGGGGCTGGACCCAGCTGCTTCCCAGCTGCATCTGCTGCTCCCGAAGAAAGGATGTATCAGAGCACAATGATTTGTTTTTATTGGGAATATTTGCTTCCTGCCACCAGGATGCATGTGCAGCAGCAGCGAAACGTACAGAGGTTTGGGAGCTTGTGCACCATGTGAGGCAGAAAAGGCTTGTTAAGAGGGGTATGTGTTAGCCAGACATCTGTTGAGGCTGCGTAAATGAGAAGTGGCCAAGAGCAAAATCGCTGAACCTGCAGTCCTGCCCACCTTCCACACACGGTGGGCCCTGCATTCCCTGCAGGAAAGCAGAGTGCTCTGCTCCGGACCTCACCAAACAGCTTAGCCTGCATCTAACATCTTCACTGGGGTCAGGAGTTACTGGTACAGAAGCTGCCACTCAAGCAGGGCAAGGGCTCAGAGCTGGTGTTCCACCTCATGCTTTGTGCACGCAGGTGCTCAGTGAGGTCTGAAGTAGGAGCATCTCTGAGGACAGCAGAGTTAAGGGATCAGCTTTACTGCTTAGGACAGGTGGAAAGGGAATTTATTTTCTGCTCATTCTGGTTTCCCTCTGCGATCTTAGTAAAACTCTTTGTTGCCCTTGGAGGAGGGAGGAACAGCAGAGACTTCCTCCTGCCGTGTCCTCCAGAGGGCACACACATTGTGTGCTGCTGTTGCCTGGACCACCCCTTGGCACTTCGGGACCCCTGCATGGCAGAGGACCTCAGGAGGGTTTGTCATCCTGCGATGCCCTGGTCCCAGCCTCTCCTCTCCAACACAACGGCTTTCAGGTGACACGGCAGAGCAGTGGTGTTCTCCTCCTGCCAGGCAGTTCAAAGCCGCTCTGCTCATTTCCAGAGCTTTCTGCAAACACCAGCTAATCCAGCAGCAGTGGACAGCAGGAAACAGCTGAAAGAAAACACCCCAAAGCGGTCACGGCACATTCCCCAAATAGCAACGGGCTGTTCTGCTCTGCGGCCAGAGAAAGGCTACAAACAGAGGGGGAGAAATTTGGTCTGCTGCCCTGGGAGCGTTTTCAGGCCTCAGCGGCACGTGAACGCAGACACCACCCTTGGGAGAAAGCTCTGTCTGCAAACTGCAAACCTCACGTTTGTGTGAGCATCTCAGTCTTTCCAGAAGTCCCAAAGCTTTCGGCGAGGGTCTGGCTTTCTACTGGGTAAGCGATTCATGCTG